ATTTTCTCTTTTTCATTGTTACTAACTTGTCTTCCTTGATTCTCTTGAGCTTTGAAAGGTACCAAATTCACAAGAAGAGAAATGGAAAGACACGTTCTATTGAGCTGTTGGAGATAGACGTCCACAAGAGCATTATTCCAGTTCCAAAACCTCAACAACAGCCACGACTTCAAGCACTGCCTCCAGCACTGACCCAAGCTCCAAAGAAAACGCCAACAGTTGGAAGCTGTGACACTCCTTGTTTTCATGAAAAGAGGTATGGAATCCACCCTCCTCCAATTGAAGCTGCGGCCTATGAGATCAAAGCAAGCTTGGTTAGGTTGATTCAAGAAACTAAGTTCTTGGGGTCTGGCATGGAGAATCCATATGATCATTTGGACTGCTTTAAGAGGTTGTGTAACACATTTAGGACTGGAGGAGTGCCCCAAGACAGTATCAAGCTCATCTTGTTTCCATTTTCACTTGGAGAAAAGGCAAGCAAATGGGAGAGAGCATTACCATCCCACTTGGTAAATTCTTGGGATGATTGCAAGATGATCTTCCTCCAAAGGTTTTATCCCATACAAAGGACTATCCAAGCTAGGAAAGACATCTTGGGCTTCAAACAAAGAATCCATGAGACCTTTGATGAAGCATGGGAGAGACTTAAAGGCTACACTAGAGATTGTCCCCATCATGGGTTCCAACAAGAAGCTATCCTTAGTATCTTCTATTGGGGAGTTGATAGAGAGCATAAATGGACATTGGATACAGCTAGCAATGGGCGTTTTGCAAGTCTTACCATAGAACAAGGAGAGCTACTTGTTGAGAATTTGGCCAAGAGCAATGAAAGATACAAAGAGCTTGATACTGAAGATTGTCAAGATGGTAAAACTGAGGTGGAGCTTTGTTTTCAGCAAGAGTCTGTTCCACAAGGGCAAGCTGCTTCAAAGCCTCAAGAAATGGAGCTGAAAAGCATGTTCCAACAACTTCTGAAGGGACAAGATGAGCTCACAACAAGAGTAAAGCGTTCATACAATGATCTCCACAACAAAATAGAGAGTTTAACCTCTCAAGTGAATCACATGGAGAACACAGATCATGAAGCTGCTATAAAGGAGATAAAACGCCTACTCTATAGTCCACAAGAAGACATTGCTCTTAGAGGTCTTTCTTCACAAGACAAAGAGGACATTGAGCAACTCAGTGGAGAGGTGACCCTTGGAACTGAAGTTTTAGCTATAAAAGACGTCCATGGAGCTTCTAGAGACAAAGTTCAGATTGCTGCTGAAGAAAAGGCCGAACAACAGCTTCAGAAAGAAGAAGAAGCTATTGAACCGCCAGCTTATGTGTCTGTAAGTCTCTGTGATGAGTTTCAAAACTTTGAGATGACGTATGTTGGGACTTGTGGAATGAAAGAGAAGGATCAGCCTTTTGCTGCTTGTGAGAAAAAGAAAGAACACCAAAGAGAGCTTGATCTTGAGTTCATTGATGGTGAGAAGTTCTTTAGTGATGATGAGGATTGCTTGGAATCTCCACCTCCTACACCAGGTGAGAAAGAGATCAGCAACAATAAAGGCAATGGTTCAGAGTACAAAGACAAGAGCCCAAAAAGCATTAAACCATTCACTCTTGGGTCTTCTTCTCAAGTCTTAACTCTCACTCCATGGAAGTTTGATGGTGGAGCTATGGAATACATGATATGTCTATATTTTACATCATTTAGATTGCATTATAGAGTCCTCATCATGTGTTTTCTCATGTAAATTGAGTCTTTAGGCGTTAAAATAGGACTTAGGGCTTGCATTAGGTCCCAAAGAGTTTTGCATGTTTTGAAGTCTTTATCAGGAGCTTTGGAGACCAATTAGAGCCTAAGAAGAGGAACAGAAAAGAAAACGGTGAAGAAAAGGGTCAAAAATGGTGAAAACCGCTTGGAAGAATTTCTCGGCCAAATCTCGTACCGGCTGGTCGGAAACCTCGGCCAAAATGTTTACCGGACGCTCATTACCGGCCAAAAACCTTACCGATCGGCCAGAATCGAGTATCGAGTGCAAAAATACCACGGGACAAGTTTTTGACCGATGCAAGAATTTTTACGACCAAAAAGCTTACCGCGGTAAACAGCCCTCGGCCATTTTTCTTACCGCGGGAAGGTTTTTACGACCAAAAGTTGTCCTTGCCCGCGCAATTCAGAGATCAGCAATCCGGGGAACCTTCCGGTCCGAATCAGTTGGCGGTGGCTTCACCAAAGTTGGAGATAATCAAGCAAAGATTCCAGAACAGTTGGAATCATCCAATTCGGACCAGTGGAGAGAAAGATATGGCTTCCGGAGCATTCACCAGCATTGCGCGTACCCGAGAACTGAACGGCAAACTTCAAAGATCATGGCGGACGGAGCCCCTTTAGACCAAACCAGCTTACCCGGTCTTCACCAAAGTTCGAGATCCATGGAAGATATTCTCATAGCATTTGGAATCGCTCAATTCGGAGCAAAGGTTTGGAAGATAGGGTCTCCGGAGTTCACATCGGTCTAAAAGTCTATTTTCCGGTGATTTCAATGCGGCGCAAAGATGTTCAATCCAGGAAGCCTTCCACTCCCCAAGCTCCGATGGTTTCTTCACCAAAGTTCGAGCTTATTGAGTCATCTTGACTGTGGAACTGGTCCCAGAGCAATTGGAGTCGTGTGCTGAAAGTTACTGCTTCCGGAAGGTGACATGGTCGATACAAGCCTAAAAGAGTTGCGATACGCGCTAAGTATTTTCACAAGCCTCGGTATCTTACCTTGGCGTCACTCAAGTCGAGGCTCATATCTTGGAAGTATTCTGGACTAGACCTCGTGCCAAAGCCTTGGCATGGTTAGATCGAGGCATGCATACGTAAGAACTGAAGCTGGAAACGAGTAAGTGTTGAAAGTACACCTCGGTGTAATGACCTCAGCGTGCATGCCGGACTGTGTTCTCCTAAGCACCTCGACATCATGACCCCTCGACATTTTATCCCGAGGTCCCTTGTCACGAACCCAGAATCAAGAACAGAATGGCTCAAGAACATACATGTGAGGATAGATCAAAGACTAGGGTTCATGCATGTTCTTGACGTGTTCTTCACGAGATCTTCATCTGGATCCTGACTCACGTGCACGCCTCGGCATGAAGACCTCGACTTCACTTTCCGACACACCGTGGCACTCACCCATCAACCCAAGAAGGCGGTTCAGTACCCGGTTTGTTCCGGGCTGACCCGCGACACTTTCCCTTTGCTATAAATACATTTTGAGACTAAAAACCTAGTTATCTTATCTCTTATCTGTTTTTAGCTCTAAGAACTTGCCTCTTTTGTGAAAATTGATTAATCTAATCTAATATCTCGTTTTTGCATCAGAATCTTGTTCTTTCTTTATTTCTTTTATCATCCAACATCAAACTCCTTATCATGACTAGCTACACGTCTTGCAAAGGACTTAGTGAGCTCGTTATGATCAGTGAATAGTCGTTTAAGCGGCTTTAGATAGGTAGATTAGGGTGCTTTCAAGGTGGATTAATGGGTTTAGGTGTCTAGTCTTGCATGTTTCATTCCTTAACCGACGAGATCTCTAAGCTGGATCCAAGCACATTACTTGAGGTTCAGATCTGAGACATATCTCGCATCAGAAGTGTTTGTAGAAATGTCTGAACCACTCGGTTAAGGGTTTAAGAGTCTTTCATCGCGAGCGTGATAGTTTGTTCTCTTAAATGACGTTTTTGAACCGATTCTTATTGCTGACTGATTTGTGCTTCTCAAAAGGGATTTTGGTATGAAAGAGGATCAGTTTAGACGTTCAATACCTTCATGAGAAGATTAACGTGCCTTGAGTTCAAAGTCAAATGAAATCGCTTGATAAAATGATTCATTAGCCCCTTAGTCTAACTTGGAAGCACCCGAGTCAAATATCCTGTCTAAAGCTTCTGCCTTTATCATTCATTACCATCATCTGAATCACCTGTTGTTATTTGCATCTTGATTAGTTTAAATCTCTGCTTTTATTTAACTTTATTGCTCATTTGCCTGTTAATCATCGTCACCAAACTTTTATCATCTTTTCTTGACTTAAGTGAACAAATGACATAGGCTAGTGTCTCGTTTACAAGCTTGGTTTGACACCCGTTATACTACTTTGACAAGGGGATTGATAACCCTTCTAAGAGCCTGAAAACTCTTAGTTATCAATTGGCGCCTTTGCCAACTTGTAGGAGCATTAGTCTCTTGTTTGTTCTTGAGTTCAAGCTTTTCTTTCCTTTGTTTTACTAACTTCTTTCCAAGTTCTTGTTTTGTTTTCAGGTGCATGAATACCAGGTCTCTGAGCACAGGATCGCTTTTCCCATACGACGATAACATCGACAGATTAGAAAGGCGAGCTCGCGAGAGAGAACGGCACTTTGACAGACTTGGAATGGCAGAACAACAGAGAATGGAGCAACAGGCTCAGGCAGCCGAGCACCAGGCTCAGGCTAATCAGGCGCAGGCAGGAAGAAATGAACAACAAGCCTATGTTAATCAGCAACGGGCTCAAAGAAACGAACGTCTTGCTCAGCAAAACCAACACCAAGCGAATAGAAATGAACAACAAGCCCATCATGTTTATCCGCCACCGCCCCAAGTTCAGAGACAACATCCTCCAATCTGTGTTGGAGAGAATGACCGAGCTAATGCGCACCAATACCAAGCTGGGATTCAAGCTCCACCAGTTCAAAACAACAACTTTGAAGTTAAAGCTTCCCTGCTCAATATGGTGCAAAACTCAAAGTTCCACGGTCTGGCTGGAGAAGACCCTCTCGAGCATCTAGATCAATTTGATCGGGTTTGGGACTTAACCAAGATAAATGGCGTCTCCGAAGATAGCTTCAAGCTACGCTTGTTCCCTTTCAGCCTCGGTGATAAAGCACACCAGTGGGAAAAGAATATACCGAGGGGTTCTATACAAACCTGGGAGCAGTGTAAACTGGCGTTCTTATCAAAGTTCTTTTCCACATCACGCACGGCTAAGCTCGAGAATCAGATCTCAAGTTTCACGCAGCACAATAACGAGAGCTTTAGTGAAGCTTGGGAACGGTTTAGAAGCTACACTAACCAATGCCCACACCACGGCTTCTCAGAGGCATCCCTCTTGAGTACTTTATACCGAGGTGCACTCCCCAAGATCAGAAACCAACTCGATACAGCTTCAAATGGGAATTTTCTTGGAAAGGAGATCACTGCGGCAATGGAACTAGTTGAGAACCTAGCCATGTGCAATGACACGTATGGAGAGGACTTTGATAGAGCAAACCGTACAGAGGGATCTAGTGATGAACAGCGCATGAAAAAGGATATAAGAGAGCTTCAGAGTAAGCTTGACAAGGTTTTGATGGCGACTCAAAAGCCAATACACTTTGTAGGCGAGTTTGATGAGCAAGGGCCAAGTTTTGACAATGTTAATGAAGATGGTCTAACACAAGAGGAGCTGAATTACATAGGGAATCAGCAGAGGTATCAGCGGTTTAACAACTACAACAGTAACCCAAACCTCTCATACAGAAACCCGAATGTAGCTAACCCTCAAGACCAAGTATACCCTGCTCAACAACAACAACAAAGCTATGCTCAAAAGGCTCCTTTTCAGAATACCTTCCAGCCCAAGCAACAGTTCAGTGGGCAACAGCACGGCTACACTCAGCAGAATCAAGCGGCTCAGAGTAACAACTTCAACAACCAACCGCAGCAACACAAGTTTCCACCAGGGTTCCATCCGCAGCCGATGGGTAATCAACAACAGATTCAGGGAACGGGTCAGAATCAAATGGGGAACGACGTCTGTGGGATACTACAGCAACTGTTACAGGGCCAGCAAAGGTTTGAGAGCCAGCACGCGACAATGCAGCAAGATATCAGAGAGCTTAAGCAGAATCAAGCTTCTACATCATCAAGAGGCCCGGCTTTACCAGGTAAACCGGAGCCGAACCCTAAAGAGTATGTGAACGCCATCACATTGAGGAGTGGTAAGGAATTACAAACTCCAACGCTTAAGACAAAGCTCATTGAGGCCAATGAGCAATTAGAGGGGGAGGCAGCCTCAGACGATGCTTGTAAAGAAGCGGTCTTAGAGAAGGAACCGATCAAGGACAAAGGAAAAGAGGTGGAAAAGACAACTGAGCTTGAAAAGCCCTATGTTCCACCACCACCTTATCAACCCAAGATACCGTTCCCAGGGCGTTTCAAAAAGAAAATCCTAGACAAGGCCAAGGCGGTCTTTGAGAAACACTTGGAGAACACGCAACTCACCTTACCCATTATAGATGCTTTCTTAGCTATACCCCAGCTTGGGAAGTTTCTAAAGGACGCGATCCTCAACAAGACAAAGGAGCTCCAGGGTATGGTGATACTGAGCCATGAGTGCAGTGCCATAATACAAAGAAGATCTATACCAAGGAAGCTATCCGATCCGGGCAGCTTCACTTTGCCGTGTGCTTTAGGTCACCTGAAGTTCTCAAACTGTTTATGTGACCTTGGAGCTTCTGTGAGCTTAATGCCTTACACGGTGGCCAAGAGATTGGGATACAAAAGCTACAAGCCAGCCAAGATCTCTCTTGTATTAGCTGATAGATCGGTTAGATTACCGGTGGGGTTGCTTGAGGATCTACCTTTGAGGATCGGTGAGATAGAAATCCCCACGGACTTCATAGTTCTTGAGATGGACGAGGAACCATTAGACCCTATCATCTTGGGCCGACCGTTCTTAGGAACCACAGGAGCCATAATAGATGTGAGAGGAGGAATGATTGAATTACACATCGGTTCCGAGACTATGAAGTTCAACGTGAAGGAAATGATGAAGACACCGACTATTGGAGGTCAGGTTTTCTATGTGGAGGTAATGGAGGAGCTGGCTGATGAGCTCCTTGAAGAATTGAACGCAGAGGATCCGTTACAAGTGGTCTTAACGCGGGAAACAAGCGAGCACGGGTACTTGAACGAGGAAAGCGAGGTGTACAAGTGTCTTTTGGACCAACCGAGGGAACTTGGAGCTGAGGCGAGGTTTTTGGAGCTCCACACGAGCAGCCTCGACATTCTAGAAAGAACTATAACCGGCCATCGCATGTGCATTGACTATAGGAAATTGAATTCTGCATCAAGAAAAGATCATTTTCCTTTACCATTCATTGATCAAATGCTTGAACGGTTAGCTAATCATCCTTATTTTTGTTTTCTCGATGGATACTCGGGGTTCTTTCAAATACCTATAGACCCCCGAGATCAAGAGAAAACGACATTCACCTGCCCTTATGGCACTTATGCTTATAGAAGAATGCCATTCGGTTTGTGTAATGCACCGGCCACTTTTCAAAGATGTATGATGCACATTTTCTCTGATGTAATTGAAGAGAAAGTTGAGGTGTTTATGGATGAGTTCTCCGTATACGGCTCCTCTTTCTCCGAATGTCTTGCTAATCTTTCTCAGGTTCTCAAGCGGTGTGAGGAGCATAGGCTTGTCTTAAACTGGGAAAAGTGTCATTTCATGGTCCAAGAAGGCATTGTCTTGGGACACAAGGTATCAGAGAAAGGCATCGAGGTGGATAAGGCCAAGATCGAGGTGATGGTGAACTTACAAGCCCCGAATTCTGTGAAAGGAATAAGAAGCTTCCTTGGCCACGCTGGGTTCTATAGACGGTTCATCAAGGATTTCTCCAAGATAGCCAGGCCTTTGACCAGGTTATTGTGCAAAGAAGTGGATTTCAACTTTGATGAAGAATGTGAGGAAGCGTTCAAGAGAATCAAGGAGGCTTTGATCAGTGCACCGATTGTACAAGCCCCTGATTGGTCTTTACCATTTGAAGTGATGACCGATGCATCTGATTATGCTGTAGGAGCTGTCTTGGGACAGAAGAAAAATAAGAAGCTCCATGTGATCTACTATGCCAGCCGCACTTTGGACTCGGCTCAAGAAAAGTATGCCACCACCGCGAAGGAAATGCTTGCCATTGTGTTTGCATTTGAGAAATTCAGGAGTTATCTAGTGGGATCAAAGGTCACGGTTTACACAGATCACGCAGCCTTGAGGTACCTGATGTCTAAGAAGGACGCTAAGCCGAGGCTTTTGAGATGGGTCTTATTGCTCCAAGAATTTGACATGGAGATACTTGATAAGAAGGGCATTGAAAACGGAGCCGCAGATCACCTCTCAAGGCTGAGGATTGAAGAACAGGTCCCTATAGATGATGCTTTACCCGACGAACATCTCATGTTAGTCCGGTCTTACTTAGAGGTGGAGGAAGCCAATACGATCAAGGAAAGAAGCCTTCCATGGTTCGCGGATCTTGTGAACTACTTGTCTTGCGGATTAGAGCCACCAGATCTTGATACTTATCAGAGGAAGAAGTTCTTTAGAGATGTGATGAGGTATCATTGGGATGAGCCGTATCTTTACGTGCTTAACAAGGACCATCTCTATAGGCGATGCTTGGCCGAAGAAGAGATCCATCCAGTGCTACAAGAATGCCACGGCTCATCGTATGGTGGTCATTTAGGTGCGTTCAAGACAGTTGCCAAGGTTCTACAGAGCGGTTTCTGGTGGCCGACCATGTTCAAAGACGCCCAGGAAGTGGTCTCGAGGTGTGAAGCTTGTCAAAGGCACGGAAACATATCCAAAAGGAATGAAATGCCCCAAAACCCAATCTTTGAAGTAGAAGTCTTCGACTGTTGGGGCATTGACTTCATGGGTCCCTTTGTAAGCTCATATGGGAATCAATATATCCTTGTAGCAGTGGATTATGTGAGTAAATGGGTTGAAGCGGTTGCATCTCCGACCAACGATTCAAAAGTGGTGGTAAAACTCTTCAAGAGTATCATCTTCCCACGGTTTGGAGTACCAAGAGTAGTCATCAGTGATGGGGGAAGCCATTTCATCAACAAGACTCTTGAGAGTCCTTTGAAGAAGCACGGAGTAAAGCACAAGGTGGCCACCCCTTATCATCCGCAAACCAGCGGCCAAGTGGAGGTTTCCAACCGTCAGATAAAGGCCATTTTGGAAAGGACCGTGAACTCATCCAGGAAGGATTGGAGCAAGAAACTTGACGATGCTCTGTGGGCTTACAGAACCGCCTACAAAACCCCCATTGGAACCTCACCGTTTAACTTGCTATATGGGAAGAGCTGTCATCTACCGTTGAGTTGGAATACAAAGCCTTGTGGGCAGTGAATCTTCTGAACTTTGACATCAAGACCGCACACGAGAAGAGGGTTTTACAGCTTCATGAGCTTGAGGAGATCCGGTTAGATGCTTTCGAGAGCTCTAAGATCTACAAAGAAAGAACCAAGGCGCTCCATGACAAGAAGATCCACAAGAGAGAGTTCAAAGAAGGGGACCAAGTTCTGTTGTTTAACTCAAGACTCAAGCTGTTCCCTGGGAAGCTGAGGTCTAGGTGGTCCGGTCCGTTCACGATTCTTGAAGTAAGACCCTATGGAGCCGTGGTTTTGAAAGGAAAAGATGGACAAGGCTTTGTGGTAAACGGCCAGAGGGTAAAGCATTACTTGGCATCAGAAATAAGGGAGGGAGCTACCTCAGTTCCTTTACTTGAACTGAAATCAGCCTGAAAAGGTATGAAAAGTCAAACTTAGCGACGTTAAACAAAGTGCTCTTGGGAGACACCCCAAGCTTATCCATGTACATATTTCGTTTTTCATCTTCTTTTTCTTTTTATTTGAAGCTTTTTGAAGGGTTTGTTAAGTGTTTCAGGAGTTAGACAGTGAAACTTGAGGGTGAAAGTGAGAGAAAGCTTGAAAAAGACACGGCCTGATGAATTAAGTCAAAGAGCATACATAGCCTCGGTATCGACCCTCGGTATATTCATACCATGGTCATCTTTTACCAAGTGAAAACTTGAGAACCTCAGCTAGATTCCTCGACTAAATTTCATCATGGTCGTGTCTGAGAAGTGCTATGGTAAATTAACTAAGTGTGGGGGAGGCTCACGATGTAAACACCTCGGTATAAGTATACCGAGGGGCGATGTTCACTTAAAACGGTCAAAAACCTTGATCCGAGGCCGCGACCAGTTTACACCAAGGCCAGCCTGTTTAAACCCCCAAGCCTCACGTGTTCTTTGCTAAAAACA